CCAAAAAAATTGTCACTTATAAATCGGATATACATTTCCTGTTTAGACTGTGAATCCAAAAGCTTAAAACAACAAGGTCAATAGGGTATTGACCATGGTGATTTCAAAAGGTAACCAAAATACTCTCCAAAAAACCCTCGCATTCTCAATATCATTTTTCACTCAAAATCAACATTTTTGTGGTGCATTATATCAAAAGGAGCTAAAGGAGACTTAATTTAAGGTAAAGTTTCCTTTTTCAATCTACATTAATCACATTAATCTCTTCATTTCATGGAAAAATGTCACGTTAATACCAAAAGTATATTTCCAGTTTTCAGATGAACTTAACCGGAAATATACTTTCGGTTCCTGTAACATCTTTTTCCAACAACTTCATTTTCTTATTTGCTTAGGATATTTCTTTTTTTAATTTGTTTTTACATATTATGTATATGGTGCATCCCGATAATTTTCCCAAAGCTATTGTGTCTCAAGGTGTCTTACCTATTCTTTTCTAAGGTGTTTCACCTATTGTTGTTTTGCCTATTATTATCAAGGCGGTCGATGTGCGGAAGCATTTTATAAATGAACAAGAATATGAATCTCAAGATGTCATGATGCAGTGGATTCGTACGAAGGCCACCAAACTAGGCTTTGGTGTTGTGATAGGAAAGTTTGATAGTGATTCGGATAGACGACCTGCATTTGTGACATTGACATGCAAAAGAAGTGGGATATATAAGAGGCCTATCAAGAAGTTCAAAAGAGATGATATTGGTTCAAGAAAATGTCAGTGTCCATTTAAGCTACGTGGGTATCGGTTGACAAATAATAATTGGAAGTTCAATGTCATAAGTGTTTTACATAATCATGATTTAAGTGCAAAGTTAGTCGGTCATCCAAGTGCATGTCGCCTCTTGGCGGAAGAGAAGGAATGTTTGTCCGACATGACACTAAATTTGGTCGCTCCAAAAAACATACTTGGCACGTTGAAGCACAAAAGACCCGATAACATTTCAAACATCAGGCAAGTTTACAATCAGCGCTACCAAGCAAAATTGGCGCTTAGAGGGGATCGAACCGAAATGCAATAACTCTTGAAGCTTTTAGAAGAAAACAACTACGTTTGTAGGCACCGGAGATGTGAGGATGGAGTTACAGTAAGAGATGTATATTTAACTCATATTGATTTCATTAAATTGTCCAATACGTTTCCTATCGTGCTTATAATTGATTCGACATACAAGACCAACAGGTATAGATTTTCATTGTTGGAAATTATCGGTGTTACGTCGACTGAAATGACATATTCCATTAGTTTTGAATTTCTAGAGTGCGAAAAAGAGAACAATTTTACATGGTCTTTAGAGGTTTGTCGTTCAATGTTAAAGGATTAAGAAACCATGCCAAAAGTCATTATTACCGACCGCGATACAGCATTGACAAATTCTGTTGCGAAGGTGTTTCTGAGTTCTTCTGCATTTCTTTGTAAGTATCACATTACTCAAAATGTGAGAAGTCGGGTAAAACTAGCGGTAGGGATGGGTCAAATTGAGATTGAGGAGGGTAGGCTAGTTAAGTCGAGCATTGTTGTGGAGAAAATTATGGCTGCTTGGAGTGTTATCATAAATGCATCTATCAAAGATTTATATGCTGAAGACGTTATACATTTCAGGAAGGTGTGCGATAAATATCTTAATTTGTTGAAATACGTTGAGACTACAATTTTGGATCAGGTGAAGGAGAAGATTGTCTGTCCATGGACAGATCAGGTTATGCATCTTGGAAATACAACAACATACCGAGTTGAGTCGACTCATACATGTCTGAAGAATTGGTTGAGAAATAGCAAGGGTGATTTGTGTACGGGTTAGAAATCCGTGAACCAAATGATACTTAACCAGCATAATGAAATTCAAACATCATTTGATCGTAGTGTCACAGTGTTGGAATACGGTTTCAAAGATAACCTTCTCTATTCTCAGTTGCTTGGCAACATATCACGATCAACTCTTAATTTCATTTTTTATGAAGCCAAACGAGCCTCCGACTTAGGCTCTGATACCTATAAGTGTTGTTGCACAATTGTGAAAACATATGGTCTTCTGTGTGCTTGTGTCATATCTAAGAAGGTGAAACTTGATAGTCCGATACGAATGGACGAAGTATGTAGTCATTGGAAGAAGAGGTTAAGTTTTGAAGACGACAGTACAATGGAAGATGGAAAGTCAAGTATCACAATCTTGAAGAATTGAAGCAATAAAAGAAAGATTTAGGAAAGACGATGACAACACAAAACTCCACATCAAAGAGCAACTGAGGAAAATCGCATTTATGGAGACAACCAACTTGAAACCACAGTCTCAACCGGTTAAAACTAAAGCAGCACCAAAAAGGTCAAACCTACACCAAGTGAAAATTCTACTATGAGAAGTCCATCGTATTTTGAACATGTTGACAAACTTTTTTCCGATTCACCGACACCGAAATCTCAAAAAAATATCTTCAAAGGTACTCGCATTAGCAACCTCCAACTCCACAGCCTCCACCAAAAATACCAGTCATTGAGGAGATGTAGATTTTTATGCACAATCACATTGATCGGATCGTCAATGCTAATGGTGACGAAAATTGTGGTTTTCGGGGGCTATTTCTGCTTTACGCGGTAAAAGGGAAGAGGATCACACACTTGTCCGCCAAACTATTATCCAAGAGTTGATGAGCCATAGAGATTTGTACACATGGGTGTACGAGGATAAGAATAATTTTGAAGAAATCTATAATGCTATTGTACCATCTATGGAAGTTATTGCACCAAAGAACAAATTGATGTGTTTCCTTGAGATGGATCATCTCATTGCAAGTGCGTATGAGAGGGTGTGTATTAATCTTACAAGATACAGTTTCTCGGAAACGTTTTTCCCATTGCACACTGCTCCAACATCTAATTCTATTGATCGTATCATTTGTGTTGGATGGATATCAAATCCCTGATATTTTATTCAAGTGTATTTGGAACTGGGATGCCCTATACCATCTACATCACTGGAGTGGGCGAATCATTATACAGACCAATCTGAGACTTGGTCGGACTAGTTCATTAAAAGGATGCAAGAGTTCACCAAATTGAACAACATTGAAATATCAAAAATCAAGGAAAAGTCAAAGGGTGTACCACCGGTGGATTTGTCGGAAGACAATTACTTCGGATCTTTTAAGTAGTTAAATATGACTTTGATGTATATGCTTTTTTGTTAATGAATTATGACGTGGAATATTCCTATTTTGGTAATGTATATGTCTATTATTATATTTTTCATACAATCTGCTCTTACTGTCATTTCTCTGTTTCTGGTTTTTAATACCAGAGACTTTATCGGAAATGTATTTTCGGTTTTCATGTTAAGGTGTAAACCGGAAATATATTTCTAGTTTATATTCAGTCAGCAGATAGGATGTGTGTGGTCCATAACATCCTCAAACTACTATATAAGAAACTCATCTCTCTCTCATGTTATCTCATGTCTAAACACTAAAACAAAAAATGAATATTGTTTGACATGTTAGAAAGGTTTGCTTCCTTAACGAGGATCTGCCATCAAGGGAATTCAAGACCAATATGTACGAACCGCTCGAAGATCTTTATTATACAATACATAGACTTTTACCATTTTGTGACAATCGAATTTTTTTGAAGAATGAGTACCGTTCTCCATCCATTAACAACGACGGAAAGCTCGAGTTCATCAACAAAGAGATACAGACAAACACTGATTTATGGGTTATGTGATAAACATTTTTCAGTTACGACGAAAAAGTTTAAATCGAGCTTGATGTGATGATTACAAGAATGATCGATGAAATTTTGAAGTTGTTGCAACATCCACCCGGATGTTGAAGTGTAATGTCGCATATATGTTTAAATCCCATATGTATTGCTTACTTTATGTAATTTTATGTTTTATTAGGGAATCTTGATGTAATGTGTAAGTGTTACTTTCCTACCCTGTAATGAATAATACCGGAAATTCAATTTCGATTATAAACCAGAAATGTATTTTCGATTTTGATTTTTTTAATTAGATGTTGGTGCGTCCCGGAAATACATTTCCGATTTCTGAAAATATTTTTGAAAATTCACACTGGTACCTAAGAAACACATAGAGTACATTAAAAAAAATCCTCAAAATCTTTTATTCTTGGTGTAGTCTTTTTATTTTCCTTCAAGTGAGTTGGCTTAGAGTTTATTTTATCAAGTCCAATTACTTGCTTGTATTTATAGAGTGGAATGACTCTTATTGAATAAGAAGAAATTAAATATGTTTTCATTTATCTTTGTTTTGTGTTTGTTCTCTCTTCTTGATTAAACTCTAATTTTCTTGGTAATAGTCGAACCCACCTATCATCCTCGCAATGCAAATGTAACAGCCTATGAAACTTCATTTCTTCACTCAATTCTTCTTCACCCAAAATATTGTTCTGCCTGAACCAGCCACCAATAGACTTCTCTTTCTCAAATCTTGGAATCAAATTTGCACCCCCTAATGACAAAATGACATTTTTTTCTATCCAGTTCAAACAATAAACTATGCTTCCTAATCTTTCCCTATTTATTCTAAACATATTCTTAGAGATAATTAATAAAACATAACTGCTCCTAATAATATAAGAATTTAATTGAAATGTATTGCCAGTGTAAAATAATTTTACACAGTCGGTTAACGTTAAATGTTTGAAGAAGTTTGACTTTTATTTTACCCATCTATAAAGAAATGCAAATTGATGATAATGATGAAATGACTGTGTAAAACTTTTTACTTGCATAGTAATTAATCTCATAATATAATAAGTGTAAAAGTGCCAATGATATAATAATAATTGCCACTTAAAGAAACACAACTGCTACAAAAATGAATAGTTTTCCTTAATTCCTTAATGAGAAGTCTATCAGATAGTACATAATATATACTCTTTGGAAGCTAGTAACCTAGTGACACATGAGAGTTCAACTTCAACTTTTATACAACTTTCAATTCTCTGAGCCATTGAGTATGTAGAGGACATGGATCCTGCTTGCCTTGGGAAGTAGCTTTCTCAGAAAGAGAATAAAACCAACCATTCCTCCATTTGAACTGCAAACATACCCAACATAACTAGCTAATCATTAATATATCAACTGTGTAAGTTATTGTTTATAATCAGTGTTCTCAATAGGAGATCGCGGCGGAAAATAACGGTTTGTTCAAATTCCGCTACACAACAATGGTATTGCAAATAAGATAAATATTTTATCTTTACCTCCTTCACTGCTGTAGGAAAATGAGCAACAGCTCGGGAATACGCACACAATCGATCTCCCATGGCTTCTTCAAATGTTAACCCCTTTTCACTTGCTGCTGCTGATGCTAGTTCTGCTATCAGGCTACATAACTGGAAGTGTAAATATCAGTTACTTCAGTTCTGATTGTGTTGTTTTTTATGACGAATTTCACAGTAGCAATATAGTTCATCTGTATTTTGTAAAGCTTATAAATTTTATCGAAAAACACATAGGTAATTTATTTTTAACAAAAACCATATCAAATGAATGAATAGATTGAACTTTGCGACTCATATATACAAAGTACGCTGATCCGAATCACCAACAAAGCAAATGAAGATTGGCAGGATAAGCACATTGATTTTGAGAAAATGAGAATAACAAAGCTTACTTCAGAACGGAACTCCTTTTCTACAATACCAACAGAAACCCCTCCGTGACGTGCTCCAACAAGCATGACAGAACAAATCCATATGAGCTTTTCTAACATCTGCTTTTGAAATGCTTCCTTCTCCAGAACCTGGCTTTCAAGACATATCGTCATATGGTATCATTAAAATATGTTCATATTGAAGAAACGGAAACAAGAAAACCTTGCAAGTTGCAAGACATAGTTAGTTAAGTACGAATACTACCTTACAAGAGAGGCCTCCGGCTAGCAATCTTTCAGAAACGGCCAAAGACCACTTGCCATAAGCAGCTGTCAATCCTTCAGGATTGGTATCAGTCTTACCATCAATAGGAGACTCTCCAAGTTTCGACACTGCAAAATATGCCAACACTTGGTTCCCTTCCTTCAAACCTTTACTCTCAAGCCATGGTTCCAACATTCCATTCTGGAAAAACACCAAATCTGCCACACCAATCCACAATAACATTTAGACACACTTATTTGAATTTATTTGTTTGCATAAACAAGTGTGAGACTCTTCAGGAGAGCTTGCGGAAAAGCTTATTACAAGTCCATAAGCTTGTTTCATATTATTTCCATAAGCTCTCCAAAATGACTAATAAAAAGAACTTTTAAGTTAGATTATATAAAAAACACTTGACTTTGTTTTATCTTTTATTATAGAAATATCTTATCCATAAACAGTTATATGATAAACAATTATGTTATAAGCACTTAATTAAAATGTTTATCCAAACAAATCTAAAGAGTGCAAATGCAATCCTTATGGAACTAAAGACATGTTTGGATTAACTTATTTGAGTTTCTCTACTAACTTATTTGTGACATATCTATAAACTATTATTTTCAGCTTATTTTGATAAGCTCTTGAGAATAGCTTATGAAAACAGTTTGGATATAGATATAGTTTGTTCATACCATTCCATCTGGAAAGAGGAGTGTTTTGAAGAACATAATCAAGATCGTCATTTCTAGTACAAACCAAAATAGGACCTCCAAAATCAAGAGGAATTGAATCTCCACGTTTCACAAGAACGTCTTGGCCTTCTCCCATGTCTTGTAAAGCCTTTCCAACTCTTCCGCCGCCGACAATGACGGCGGGGACTACTCTAGCGGCGGTGGTGGTGGAAGCCATGGCGAAGAGTTTGAATCTGAAAGAGGGAAGCGTGGTAGTGAGAGTGGAGAAGCTAGAGATAGAGATAGAGAGAGACATTGGTGTTGAGTGGAAAAGTGATTGGTGTTAGCAGATAACAACAATGGGACGAGGAAGACATGTTTTCTCGTTTTTGTTGAGTTTGTTTGAATTACGGTTTCACTGTCACTCGCATCGCATGAAATTTACGCCACTCGTTCTTAGTTTTCTTATGGGGAAGGTTCTATCTTACACCCATCCTCGGTTCTTTCCTCCACGTTTTCATTTCTATGCTACTTGTATTTTTCAACTTTTTTAATATTATTTTATTTTATTGATACTGATCAATAGGAGTGACAATATAGATCATATCTCGTTTGTTGGTGATGTCAATTTTACACGTTTTTTTTTTTAAATTGAGAACGTTCTTAGGTCTGTAATCTTTAATATGTTTGTCAGACACCGTTCTATTTTTACGTGGTCTTTAGCGATACATGTATTTATATAAAATTTATAATTTTTAGACTTAAAATATACATTGTTCGCATATTTGCTCCACCCTTATTTTTTTGCGGGACGGACTAACATTTTAGTCTCGCATCCTCCATAATGTATGCTCTGTTTTGCTTTGTTTTTTGGAGAATATTTGCGGGTCAGATCTAAATAAAGCGAACACACCCGTTTACCACCAACCCTTAGTAATACGTATAATTTTTTATTATAAAAATTGAGTATCTTCTGCATGCAATCAATTAAATTTTGTTCTGAGTCGGTCGTATTCCTCTTGGACATACCACCTTGAGATAGCTCGTTCCAAACCAAAGCTTCTCGTTCGACTATACGGTTGTGGCTCTAGAATCATTTCCTTACCATAAGACTATCATATACCTTGGTGCAGAAGATCTACGCCTCGTGCACATCCAACGATCCTCCTCGTTCTACGCATGACAGATATCGAAGTTGTTATTCCTCACTTATATATAGGAAATGCCACATTTTCAAGTAACAAGTTTCAAACACAATTTGAATACTCTCTATTTTTCATATATCGAGTGTTAATCATGCAGGTATACCCCCACGCCATTGCATTAGAAGCTCTAATATATCACAATTTCCGCTTCTCTATATATTTCAGGTTCCGTAATGGAACAACGACGTTGTCTATGGGGATTGCCTTTTGATTCCCGCATTTTCCACTACTCTATTTGTGCTTTCAATTTTCTAGTGTGAAGTTTTCTTCAACCTGTGAACAGAGATCTAGCAAATCGAGCATAAAAAATAGTTTTGTTCGAACAATTCGAACTATATACTGATTACAACTCACTAATTCTTTGGATATTTATATTTCATATCTTTGATCTCTTTGATCCTTAGAAATAACTTGATCTATAGCTACTTCATCTGCCACTACAAAAGAAGTCGCTCTAGTTATTGTTAGCGCTGCACAAATAATTGTGAATCAACAAAACATAAATCATCCTTCTCGTGGCAAAATGAATCTTTGTGTTGATGCTCTTCTGCATCTAGGTCTAATCATTCCTCCTCTATTGAAAAGGGTTGTCCAAGCACCATAGTCTGGAGTTGCAACTCCTCTTCCTGTTGAGCAACCTGAGATGGTGCACAAATTCAGCGTTATTGAAGAAAACTTAAGCGCTCAAGGCGCATATGAGCTGCTCTATGACATTTACAACATTGTTCAACAACAAAACTCCAAGGTGATAGAAGAAAAGTTCCTTCATTTTGAAGAAAGCATCTACCATGCTCAGCCCCGAGCGAACAAGGTTCAAGAGGCCGCGTCTAGAATAAACCATTTGATCGGTCCATAGTTGACCACCAGAAAGAGAAGTAAATATCGGATATCGAAAGATTGTTCAAAAGATGAAAACCAAAATTCCCATTCCCAGAGCCCGATGGAGATCGAGGTAGTGACGCTTCGTTCATAGATCGTGATGAACACTAGCCAACTAGGGTGTAGCTTAAGCATCCCTTATATGATCAAATATTTGAAACCAAGATCCCCAAGTCAGTGTGAAATCCTTTCAACTACTACAATGCAGACAAAGCTTCCAAATGCTATATATTAGCCTTAACACTAATCATACAAACTATGTTGGGTTCAATCGGCTCTCAAACTAGTGCATTGATTCATAAACTAACTTTTTTGATTGGCTCGTCGCTTATTTTACTGCATGGAATAGGCAACTAGTTACTATAGTTGCCTCGAACAACATCATGCAAAGATTAAAAGAGACCATATAATTGTGCATTAATCGATTCACCCAGGTGTTGGCTGAAGATTTTGATAATGTTATCTAGAATTCAAAAGAGTTAAAAGTTCTGATCGAAATGGAATTGAACACCATATTTCGAAGTTGCAGAAGCAGTGTTTCGAATGAGTGTGTCAAAGCTTGAAGCTTCGAACGGTGATCATGGGAAAATATCCAAAGGGGTCTCGAAACAACAGCGAGGCTAGGTTTGGGAAGAGCGTTCGAAACGGAGAAACACCAAAGCATTTAAAATTTAAATGGAAGCGGGACTTTCAAAGTTTGAAAGTTATGTGTTGGAGCATTTGGGGACACGTGGAAAGATGAAAGAAGCATTGTCTTGCATGTTCGAAACGTGGCATGATCCTATAGCGAGACCGTTAGGGTCGAATTAGTATAAATAGAAGTCTTAGTATTAGGATTTCAGTGTGTCATATCTGTTATACAAAATACTCAATAACATTCAAACTACCACATGGCAAGGGAAACGAATGCAAGAGAGATGTATGTATGATAGCACCATGTATTTCTAACTTAATGAAAGCCTTTTTACCATTTCCAGTACTTTCCTCTTTTCTTTTTATCGAATAACATTTACAAGTTTCTTTATTTATCGTCTTTTCATTTCAAAGTCTTTTCCTCAAAAGTTTTACTCTTTATTGCTTTCTTTATATTTCGAGCACTTTATATTTCAGAGAACTGTTACGCTTTCAATACCTTTACTTCCAAGTATTGTTTTTCAAACGCATCCTTTTACTTAAAATTGCATTAAACGCTTTCTTCACATTTTAAACTTCTACATTCCAGAAACCTTTTATGTTAAATCTTTTGCAAATCGAAACCATTTACTTCATTTTTCATACAGTTTTATATGTCTCTTCAATCAGCATTACAATTAGCATTTATTCGTATAATTTAGTTTTCATGTACAATTTGACCACATTTTTAAACTCTTAGAGAGAAGGATCGAAATAAACCAAACACTTGTACAATAGCAACCATGAATAATTGTTCGATTGTGAGAGTAACTTTAATATCCAAGGAGTCCTAGGATCAATCTAGTCGATCCTGTGAGTTACCAGAGAGATTGAGTAGCGTTAATAAAGATTATTCGATAGTTTGGAAGACTAGCGGTTGTTTACCAGAAATCACTGGAAACACCAGGTTGTGTAGAAGTATAGGGAACCGAGGAAGCCCTCCAATGTTAGATCTTCCAAAATTACCTCATCCACAACCATCATTTATGCATCAAACTGGAGAAGAATAAGGTAAATAAGAATGAGAAGGTATTGAACCTGGATCAGCCATACCTGACATTGGAAGAGAAGTTGAATACTCACTTCGAGAACCCAGCCTCGGCCGCTGACACAATCTTCAATCGCCCATCCGAGAAGGAGTTTAGCCGGTGGAAAGAAGATGCTCATAGAGGAATGTACGATCGGTACGACAAGTACACATCTATGAGGATTGTTTCATAACATATAAGAATAACTATTCATTATGGATGGAACTACACAAAGTATGAAATGTTTTCTCCTTTGTGATTATATACAATAACGATGAAACTGGGGTATAATCGATGCAATTAAGGCCCAAGATAAAGATTTTACGGGTGTTGTCGAAAAATTCTTTGCACGTTCAACTACAATAATCAATACCCACAACACCGAGTGTGCTTACTGATTTTAGGGGTGTTGTGGGAAACGCTTTGCACTTCTGACTATAATAATCAATAACTTACAACGTCGAGCATGCCTAAATATTTATGGGGTGCTATAAGAGACATTTTGGACATTTGACTATAACAATCAAAACCCCAACATCAGTCGCGCCTAAATATTTAAGGGGTGCTGCCGAAGACGCTTTGCACGTCCGACTACAATAATCAATATCCCATCGTGCCAAGCGTGCCTAAATATTTTAGAGGTGTTGTTAGAGATATTTTGCACGTCTGACTACAACAATCAATACCCCACAGTGTCAAACGTTTTTAAAGATTCCAAAGAGACTCAACATGCAAGCATGACCCATTTTGGAAGGCAACAAGCGGGATTACCCTAGGGGTGCAAGTGTGAATGGTGTATTGATTTCATGTATTTGTCTTCGTATTAGATTATCTAGCGTTTGATTTTATGTACATACAAACCCTAGGTCTAACCATGGTATATTTGAAAGCGATAAATTGCGGGAATTTAAAGTCTACGCTATTACAAATAAGTATCCGGGAGTGGGGGTACAAATATTTACAAATGGGGATGAGACTTAATAGGAGAGTAGTGTCCAAATAAATTTACAACCAAATCGAATTGCGATCTCAAATGTAAAATATAATGTATAGCAATGTATAAGAATAAAGCAAATGTGTATGTATCAATGTATTTGTGTAAGTGTATGATTTATTTACAAGTGCGAAAAAATGGGAACTTAATGTATTATCAAGTATTTTATTTATGTATTGTTATCATTTTGTATTTTTGTTTAAGTATGTACAAACAAAATATTTTAAGAAAAGGAAAGGAAATGTTTTAAGAATTCTATCCTTTTTTAATGTATTGATGCTAGTATTTTATGTACAAAAGTTGTAACTAAAAAAATGAGATGTTTTAAGTTTAAAGAAAAAATATTATTTGTATTTTAGTTAATGTACAAAATTTAATTATGTTATATATAAAAAAAGTATTGTTAAGGCAAAATTAAAATTAGTATATTAAGTAAGTTATAAAAAAAAGTATAGGGTGA